GGGGGGGGGTGTTAAAAGATCAAATTGGGAAAGAAAGAAAAAATAGTGCAAAACAAAAGTCTAATTCGTAAGCAGTCTTTTAAAAAATATTACCCTATTCTTAGGAGCGCGGGTCTTTGCAAACGTTCTTCGTCGTGGACTTCACCAATCCAAAAGCAAAAGCATTGTTTCAAAACACACCGACGCCGTTCCCCGAAACACAGGGTCAGAACCTGGACTGTGATTTTCTTTTAAAGATGCCATTTTAAAAAACTGTTCTGGTTCTCACACTCTCTTTGTCTACCTTGACTATTTAATTCTAAAGGAGACACAAACTCACTGAACTCAATGGGTACTTTCCCACCCTAATAAAGTTTGTGATCCTAATAAGAGTTGTGGAAAAGGCCGTCCTCGTGGATACTGTCCCAAGCCAAGTTTGATTTAACAAATTTATATTCTGCTTTGACTTTAAAGATAGAGTCAGTGTGGTATAGCTGTGAAGGATTCCAGAAGACCAGAGTTCAAATCCCCACAGTGGAAACTCACTGGACTACCTTGGACAAGTCAGCAGCAAACCTCCTCTGAAGAAATCTGAGTCAGTATGGTGTAGTGGTTTGAGTGTTGGACTAGGACTCCAGGAAACCAAGGTTCAAACCCCCACTCAGTCATGGAAACCCACTGGGTGACCTTGGGCAAATCACACACTCTCTCAGCCTAAGAGGAAAGCAATGGAAAATATCTGCTAAAGAAATCTTCACAAGGAAGAAGACAGAGTCACCATGAGTCGGAGTTTACGGGAAAGCATATAACAGCAAATCAATCTAAGACCGCAACTATGAGTAAATAAAATCAAACATGAAAACAACATATTGCCCAAGATCCTACATCAAGGAGTTAGAGCATCCTTTTATGGTCATGGAGTTTTGCTATAGTTGCACAATGGCGCCTTCTCCAAGAACTGCAAGGTTCTACAAAATCTGCTAGTGTCATCATAAACTCAGTGAAAAGCATTTAAGTTTAAAGAACGTGTGCATGTGAAAGAAAGCTGAAGTGTCCATTCTAAACTGACGGTCTTGCAGAGATGGAGAAACTTCATCCAACAAAGACTTGAATGTGGTCTTCAACTATTTAGAGGGCTGCCATATGGAAAATGAAATAGACTTGTTCTCTGTTGCTCCAGAGGATGGGAACAGAAGGAAGGGAAATCAATATGCAGGTGGTCTTGAGAGGACACCCAGTTATTGAATTCAATGGAGAAAGTAGCTTAGCTCAAAAGGAAGCAGCAAGAGGGCTTCAGTAACTTAAACCAGGAACTTTAGCCTATGTATATCGGTCCCAAACTACCCAACCTCCAGAGTGCAATGCAGTTTTATTTGTACGGTAAATGGGAAATCAACTTTCATATACACACACAATGGCATGAACAATCTAACCTCACCAGAAAATACATGCATTAAAAAGACAAATAAAAAAATCCCAGAACTCCTATCACAGCTAAACTGGAATTCCAAAAAATACATATCTGGGGATCATTTTTTATTTGTGTTTTGCAATAATGTTCAGAAGGCATGGAAACAGGGGAGGGGGGTCACACAGTTCACCAATTAAGTTGTATATGTCTGTTTTGTCTTCACTGAGTGTTCAAAAGCCAAGACTGGGTGTCCATTTGAACAAGCAATTCTTACTTTATAAATGCATTGGCTGGATGGTCCTTGGCTGTTCGAAGTGTCAGGTTCTTGCATTGAGCTGGGTCTGGGAGTAGATGGCCCCCAAATTCCTTTCCAGATTTGCAGCCCCAGCACTTAGCTGTATTGCATATTGCTGTTGTTCAATAAAGTTGTGGCTGTTTTATATTCCAATATATTCTCCAACATTGTTGGTGGGGGGAGGCATGGGCAATGAATTACTCTGACTACAAAGTGGAGGTCTTTTGCAAAATGCACTCTAGTCCAGTGGTTTTCTCACATAGATGTAAAGGGGGTCACAAGGGTAAAAAGTTGGAGAACCACTGCTCTAGTTCCTGCACCCTAGCTCCCATCCTTTCATGTTTCAGGGTCTCCAAGGTGTCTCTGTTTCTGTTATCCCTTTACCATATCAGGGCCAGTCCTACAAATCTAAATGGGTCTTTTGACCTGAAATCCCAAAGTCTCCCAGCCACCATTGAGGCTTTTGAGGGTTGTAATCCCCAAAGTTACTTTTTGAAATTCTGGCTCATAATAGAACGCTGAATATTTGCAACATTTTCACAACTGTGTTCCATGGCTGACAGGCATGACTTTTCTCCTCTGTCATGTAAGACAATGGCTAGCATTCTGTTGGTAAGAGATACATACATAAGTCATGCTACGCATGTGCGGCAAATTCTTTGCTATCGTGCAACAGATGTATTCTGCTAAAAGCAACAGAAGCAAAGTTGTTCAGGCAGCCATGTTGTGCCTGGGGTTTATGCCCTGGGCATTGTGCATTGCAGCGGCACATTGCACATTGCACAGTGGCACCCATGTGTTGTGCAATGTTGCTATTCGGCATGGGCTTTGCATAGTGCACTGTGGTGTATCTCCACAGGTGACTATTTATGCTAAGCTGAGTGGATATTGGATTGCAGCCAATATAGGGGTACAGATTGTTTGCTGAATCAGCAGGGACCTTTTACATTTTCCCATTCATTTTAGAAACAGAAAAAGAAAACACAATGAATGAAATTGATGGCCTAGAGTAAATCCAATGAATCAATTAAGCATACATAAATATCAGTTTACCAAGTTCTCATTGTGCTTTCTCTACTTAAGATTAACATTTGGATTTAGGTCAGCACTATCCATGCATGTCAATATTGTCAGCTTTATCTTTGAGGATTGGCGATGTACTGGCAAGACTTGGAATTCCAGTGCTCACCGGCGTGTAGCTATGTGGGGGATGAGAACATTGCCCCCCAAGCAAGAATTCTGCCCCCCAATTACATTTCTCTTCAGTACCCAAATTTCTACCATTGCAGAAAGTGAGTTGTAGAAAATTGCTCTCACCTCGAACTCTTCTATTTGCTATCTTTGCATTCCCCTTTTTAACTTGTTGTTGTTGTTGTTGTTGTTGTGTGCCTTCATGTCATTTCTGACTTAAGGTGACCCTAAGGCACGGGGTTTTCTGGGCAAGATGTGTTCAGAGGAGGTTTGCCATTGCCTTCCCCAAGCCTGAGAGAGTGTGACTTGCCCAAGGTCACCCAACTGGTTTCATGGCTGATCGAGGAGCCCGTCCCCATTTCTTTGGATGCCTAAACCCTATATCTAAATATTCTGCTGAAATTTTAAGTTACTGCAATGCTAGAAATTGGGAGACTGCCGGGGGCCGTGAGAAGGCTTGGTAAAGGCAGGCTTGGCCTTCTCCTTTACTATTGTGGTGCCAGCCCACTTGATCTTTCTCACCTTCAGTGGAAAGAGGGTCCGACAGGGTATCACCCCACTTTTGGGGTGTCACCCGGTACATTCTATACCCCCACACTGTCCTAATGATGCCACTGTCCAATAAATGGGGTTGGGGGGATTTCAAACTCCCTAGGTATTCATGTATGGCCAGCGTGGTGTAGTGGTCCGAATGTTGGACTACAACTCTGGAGACCAGGGTTCAATTCCCCACTCGGCCATGAAACCCACTGGGTGACCTTGGGCAAGTCACACTCTCTCATCCTCAGGGGACGGCAATGGCAAACCTCTTCTGAGCAAATCTTGCCAAGAAAACCCCAGTCGAAACGGCTTGAAAGCACACGGCGACAACATGAACAACATGTATTCATACCATGAATACAAACCAGCCACAAGTGTGTAACTGCCTTAGCAAATTCCAGCTGAATGTTTTTCTAGAATCGATTTCAACTTCCGAGGGACTGGCTGAATTAATCGCTCCTGACATGTGCCCTTTGCCAGCCTGGCATCCCAGTCAGTTGCTGGAGTTACCAGGCTTCTGCTCGCTGTCCAGTTTTTTATTCCTTTCAAAAGATTGTCATGTCACTTTTTTTTTCCATCAGGGCCTGGACTACACTCCAAACACCTCCTTAAGTTGCTTCCTGACCTGCACAATTTCTGTCCATCTCCTTATGTGCTTTTTTTTTCCCCCGGTGAAGTTTATAGTGACCATTTTAATTGAGTCTCTAGCAGTCCAAAGAGCATTTAATAAAAGACTTAATTATTTTTCCCATCTGTTTCTCCAGAGACAAGTGTTTTAAAACAGATACTGCTTGGTTCACAGAGATGAGAAAACAATTGTTTCCAAGTCGACATGTAGAGGATGAAGCTCAGTGCCTGGAAAGTTACTTTTAAACCGGAGTGTGCTCAGTAACAGCTCCTCCAGCAAAGTAATTCATTGCAATTTGCAAATGATTAAATAACTCACTACAGTGCTCATGTTTTGGACTTCAGCTCCTATAATTCCAGACTCTTGGCCAAGTTGTCTGGGGCTTCTGGGATCTGAAGTCCAAAACAAACGGAGGACAGCTGTTCCTGTTGAACGCCATCCTCATTTTTTGCTGCAGAAAAACAAAGCTGTGCAGGTGAAGAAAGGCAACCCACCACCGCACCACTCTCTTATGGATTTTACTCCCACTTTTGCCATTTTTGCAAGATGAACAAGAGCCATGCCAGTGCCAAGCTAAGATCCAACACTGGCAAAGCTTTTATTCAGCTTGAAGCAAGAAGAAGGAGAAGTGGAAGTAAAATCCAGAGTGGAGTCACATTGGGAAAGGGGCAAAATGAGGACATCCCCAAAAAAGAATTCTGCCCCCCCCCATGCAAATTTTCTTCATTCCCCAATTTCTAGCACTGCAGTCACATACAACCGGTCAAGAATTTGGCAGAATTCTTATTTCGGTTAGCATCGCATTTCATTCATTTCACCCTGCTGTAGCTAAACCTCTGGATCTTGGCCAAAGAATGGGCATATCACTTGTCTTTGTGTAACAATTCACATTTTCTAGTTACTTTTAAAACTCGTTAGCAAGTATTTCAAGCAGAAGTTTTCAAGTTTTAAGACAGGCTCTTACCAAACGCCACCCCCACCATCCCCAAAAGATACAGGAAAAATAAGTCACAGGAAAATGACTTTAAGTCATTGGTCAAGGATGCCATACTTGAACGATTCCAGCACCAAGGAGGAAAGATGACCTCCCAGGTTCTTTCCAGCTTAGACTTCCCTGCTTCTTTGCTGATCTTCCTTTGAGCCATGGGCATGCCACTTCTATGTCCATGGTGAGACTACAAGGGAGGACCTTTCATGCAATAAAGCACACAGCTGCATCAGAGTACCCAAGGAAATATGCCTCTGTCTTCTCTGTGGGTTGTTGGAGAGCATGGATCTGGGTGAAAAAGGCTAGCGCACTTTCCATATGCTTCTAGTGAGTGGCTGCATCAACAGAGTGCCGGACTAGATAAGATTTTGACTTGTGCAAGTGGCCACATATTCCTCACATACAGGTTGAGACTCCCCTATCCAAAGCGCCTGGGACCAGAAGTGTTTTGGATTTCAGATTATTTTTCAGATTTTGGAATATTTGCATATACTTAATGAAATATCTTGGCATCTAAACGTGAGATTCTCTATGTTTTGTATACACCTTGTACACATAGCCTGAAGTTAATTTTATAGACAATGTTTTAAATAATTTTGTGCATGAAACCATGTTGGCACACAACTGAACCATCAGAAAGCAAAGGTGTCACTGTCTCAGCCACTCATGTG